CCCCCACACACCTCATCTCACCTTCAAATCAATTCCACTATATACACATCGTGTAGTACTCTACCACTGCACCTGATAAGTATCATTTTTCCCAAATTCTATCTCAACACTCATGTGTAAATAATTTATTTATAAATGTAAGTACTAATTTCCCACTCTCTTCCGTACACTCAAGGGCCGATTCCCCTCTACCCACAAATTTTGGGTCTTAACCCAGCCGATGACTAATGAGGGAATCTCAATTAATTTCGTCTATTAAAAAACAGTTCCGGATGACGTGGGCCTGTTTCCAGCGTCCCATTTTTTTGAACCTGCGGGACTTCGGGGTTACCCCCCGGGTTAAAAAATCATTTTTCTAGAGTTTTTATATTTCAGGATTTAGAAAATATTTATGTCTTTATTGCTGTGGGACCTTTCGTTTATGTTATAACAAAAAAAAGGAAAGTGCCGGAGGGACTTTCTCATTGCGGGTTTTTCCTGAAATACATCTGGTAATCAGAGAGGGTCAAGAAAGAAAAATCCAAGGGTTAAGGGTGGAAGGAGAAATTATATTGCCCTCTCGCGAGGAGTTTAACCTGGGCCTCACTAGTAATGTTTAGTTAGTTATGTCTAGAGTCTTATAATTTTTAATAATAATTCTCAATTTTTACATTCCCCAAGTGTTTATTTATTTCGATCTACATAATCTAACCTTCAAACTTTCTTCAACCCTTGGGCCCTTCCCGACGTCCCAAGCTTTGTTTGCCCTTCCCCGTTCCTTACACTCCCAAAAACAGATGAAAATCGGAACTCCATCATTTAGATCTGTATAAAAACTTAGAATTAGAATCGAACTCTTATAAATATCAACGCCCAGAGTTGTCCAAATAAACATTAATTGTATTTAAATATAAAATCTGGGTGATTTATTTATTCATCGGAGTTCAATAATAATTAAAAACAGAATTCAATGTTTCAATTAAGACCAAGTTTTTATTTAATTTTTCAAATCGAGAAGGAAATTCCGCAAAGAGTGGGACTAAGAGAAAAGACTGGTGCTTGGGCAGTCAACAATTGAGAAAAGCAATTCCCCTGGAGAAATTGTCGTTCGGAGTAGTGAGAAAGGTGAAAGGGCCTTAGAATTGGAAGGAGCAGGCCCAAAATCTTGGGGATTACTTTGGAATTTTGTGAGGGATCATAAATGGCGAACGTGAGGAAATTCCTAGTTGAGGATTAATCTAGTCCTAAAGAAACACATATTTTCAAAATAAAAAATGGATAAAAGGCAGTAGAAAAAATTGTACATTAGGTCTGCAAATGTGAGTCGTGGAAATTTATTATATATATTTATTATTGCTGGAGTGGGTGTGGACTGAAGACATTTTAATGGAGGAAAAGTCCCAAGAGGTAATGCCCAAAGATTTAAATATTTTCCTGCAGGCCTCACACATTCCACGTTGGAATAGTCATCGTATTTAATTTATGATAAATACTACAAAAACCTTTGCAAAATTTCCTTGACAATCTAAGTTTCACTTTATTTAATTTATATTATTTTGAGTCGCCTCATTTTTGATAGTGGATTTTTTTTTTAATATTCCGCCCCTTTCTGCCCTGTTCTGGTTAATTGGCCCTATCTCACCCTATCTATGCGGCTGTGGATCCTACACTGTATCGTATTCACTCCTCTATAGAACATAGGAATAACACGGGAAACCACAGGAAAAACCATGTCGGTAAAGGCGGTTGCTTTATTAGCAACCTCCCTCCTTATACTTATAAATTATGCAATTACTTATTGTTTGTTAGACGGTCCTGATATATCAGGATGTGTAATCAGCCTCTCGGCTATTTTACAATGCAATTACTTGTAATCAATTCATAATCCATGATATGTCAAATATAAAAATGCTCAAAGTACTTGGGCGATTTAGGAAAAAGTGATGAAGAAAAATTTCTTTCACTCGTATACCCTTTCGGGTTTTTACGATTTGTTCCCTTCCCACCCCCCAACCCTCTGTACCGCATTTGCTGAAAGGGAGGGAAAACCTCATCTGAGGGAAAAACCTGCCCTGGTACAGTCGTCCTTTTGACAGGACTACCGCTGGGCAGTGAAACCGTTAGATCAGAGCGCTATATATTTTTTGACCGCCGGTGCCCGGGATCGAACCCGGATCCTTGGCATGCTAGTCCAGCACTCTAACCGCACGGCCACTACCGTCGGTAAAAAGTGATGAAGAATTAAATGAAAAATATTCAGATTTCGCTAGGTAAGCCCTTTCTATTTTTTCCTCTGATGATGTCAAACTCAAATGACGACTTTTGTCATGTACAGATTTAATTGCAATGCGATACGACAATGTTAGCAATTTCGTGTTTAATGACGTAAGTGAAACGTCATACTATCCTCTGAAGTAGATCAAGTCTGCGTTCGTTCTTTCAAGGCCGAAATACAACAGTAGTTAGACATACAGGTGTACAAAGCTCATAAAACAAGGGTCATGTCATGATATACTTCATGCTCAAGAGAAACAATCAGCTGAATCAATATGTTTAAAAGGCCGAGCATGGATTACTATTTAAATTCGTACAACAGTGAACAGAAATTTAGGTTTGACATTTTTTCATATAAGATTTTCTTTGAAAAGTCAAGAACAACAAAAAGACGAAGAACTCGGAGACTCAGTGAAAAGGAAGACTGACGTCAATTCAGATAAATAACGGAATAGAGATAGCGTAATGATGCATCATGTATCATCTAGTTGAAAAACAAAAAATTATGAATCAATTTGATGTTTTCTCTTTAAACATCTGCATGCAGGTGATTGCACAAAAGAAATAGTAACAATTGATGTTGTCACTTTTTTTTCAACATTTTTTCATTTTTTCAACAAGTTTCCAAGTATAAATAAATAATTTTGCTAAATAAATGCCTAATATTAAAAAAAAAAAGTCAATTTTAATGAACATTTACTATTGATTTTCTTATTATACTATTATTGATTTTATTTATTTATTATTGAATAAATGAAAGTGAAACGTTGGCAATGCTCAAATGTTGTCTTGCGTAAAAATATTCTTTCGTTAACGAATTAATTAATTAATTAACTGTATAACACATTATTTATTAACAAATTAGATTGTCATGTTCTAAAAATTGTTAAAAAAAATAATAATACAAAAAAATAACCCAATTAAAAATTTTCTATTATTTTTCAATTTTTCTATTAAATTAATAATATATAGTATATATACATGATGTATATAATATATATATTTAATTTAATTTGTTTGAAAAATGTATTATGATTATATTATATGTTACAACAATTGTCGAAATACTAATCACAGAATATTATCTCAAATTTATAATAAATAAATTATAAACAATAATAACAACAAGAAAAGTATGAATTCACCTCAATATTCTCCCCCGCCAATTCCTCTCCCTCTTTCGATTTATCCAGGTCAAATCAAGGATATATTTGCAATTGGTTTCATACGGCAATTAAACGAATATCCCACCGACGCTTCCCAACATTGACGTCAATTGTCGAAGATAACGCACGGTATTAATACACATAGACGTTCTCCCACACAAGAAAATCTTGTCTTACTGACGATTAAATTGTGGTGGTACCAAATGTTATAGACTAGGCATCAATTTTTATGCTATTTCTCTATTCGTGTGCATTCGTAGATTTTACAATAAACGAGGAACGGAAAATGATTTACGAGGAAATATTTTTTTTTTTCTCAGTGTAGGAGACTATCTACTCTCTCGTTATGCCTATGTAAATATACATATTTACCTCTCCCCGTCCTCCCCTCCGCCCCTCCTCCCCCCTCCCCACTGACCCCCGACCGCTCCGCCCCTCCGCCCGAATGGTTGGGGTGGGAGAAGTGGGAGAAGTAGGAGAAGTAGGAGAAGTGTGTGAAGCGGTTGGAGGGGCGGAAGGGAATAGGAGAACTGAGGGTTGCAACATGGCGGAGGTTTTAGTCGGTATCGAACCGTCGTGCTGTTTACTTGGGATCAATTACTCAATCTCATTGAGTTATGACGTGCCACTAGTGTCTAATTTTTTTTTTTCGGGTGTGAATAATTCCTAGTCTCTCAATGATCTGAAGGATTTATTTTGTCAAAAGGTGCGTCGAATTGCAACCGATGGCAGACGACTTGAGGCTTCATTCGGGTGAGCATTTTATTGAGTTGATTGAGGTGAATAGAGTTTAGGGGTTTTGAAAAAAATATGAAAATGAGTGTCGACTTGTTGCAGCCTCGTTGGGCATTGTAAGGCCGTTCTGCCAACATCAACCACAACTATCCCAATTTTTAATCCTTGATCGTATTATTTTGACTATTATCGTCGCCAGTTGAGATCAGCAGTTCGATGGTGAGTTTTTAAATTATTCTTTTTTGAACACTTCTGGGTGATTTTTTATTTGACACTTGGAATGTCATCTGGGGATCGATCGTAAGGAAGTGATTTAGTTGAGGAAATTTTGTTCGGGAGGCTTTCATTATTCCGAGGTTTCAGGGATTTTTATGATTTGATGGGGTGAATCGGTTGGAAAATGGGCGGTGCAAGCTGTTGAGAAAGGGAAGTTTCAAGAGTCACTAGAGGGGTGGTGAAAGAAAATGCATTTATGAGGTCCTTCGCCTTGTATCGACCGGTTGAGTGCGATACAGAATTCCAGTAGACGCTTTCACCCTTTCCCTCAAAATCCACGAGACAAAAAAATTTTTTAAAATATTCTCATCATCAAAATTTTACAGCTTCCCCTCCCGCATAATTTTCTTCTCTATAATTATCGTTAAATGGAATTTTCAATCGCTGAAATTAACTGAGTATGTGAATTCAGGGGTTTGTGTGACGTCAACAAATTATCGGGTTAAAATAGCCTTTCGATTTTGAACAATCATCAATTGTCGTCAACATCGGTGACTGGAGACTGGCTAAAAATTACGGAACGCTATCTGCGAGAAAAAGGTTTCCGACCTGCGTAAGCAATGACGCACACCGCGCACGAGTTTCGTTAACTACTTATCCTTCTTTATTTGTCATTTTGTGTTATTATTATTATTATATAGTGTCTTGCATTTGCTTTCGACTATGACATGTCCAACTCTTGAATTATCCAAAAAAAAACAGTTTACGACACACCAAACAAAATATGTCAACCAAAAATTCAAAAAAATCCGTAATATTATATTGAAGCTATTGTTAAACAAAAGAATTATAAATTTTCTTGGAAATATTCTTCATTGAATAAAATAATTGCAATGTTTATTTTCAGTTTTTTAGAAGACCATGGAATTCGACTGAGGAAACATTTAAGAGAAAAAATAGTTGGAGAATATTTGTTAGTATTTATTGTGAATGAGAAAACACAATTAAGAATAAAAAATGGATGCTGGAGGTGGACAGGGAAAAAAGCAAATTCGTGTTGGTTTTTACGATATCGAGGGTACAATAGGCAAGGGAAATTTTGCCGTTGTTAAATTGGCCCGGCATCGCATCACGAAGACAGAGGTAAAAACGATAAATCAATTTAATTCTAAAAATAGTAGTATAGTAGAATTATTCATTTTTTAAAAATTACTTCCAATCCGATATAATTACTGAAAAATTCTATTCTTGTCGCTAATCTATTTTGAGTATCGCGAAAAATAAATTTAATATTTGAATGATTCCAATGTTATTCTTTAATTTTCGATGAAATTTCAATGCAGAATTATTTTGTTTTCTCTATCTAGGTGGCTATTAAAATAATTGATAAAACACAGTTGGATTCAACAAATTTGGAGAAAGTTTATCGGGAAGTGGAAATAATGAAGCAATTGGAACATCCACACATTGTGAAACTATATCAAGTTATGGAAACGAAAAATATGATATATATGGTGAGTTTTTAATGAATGATCGGTGTATTTAGTGATGGGTATTGAATGCATTAATTTTTTTATTTCAGGTATGCGAATATGCAAATAAAGGTGAAATCTTTGATTATATCGCGAGATACGGGAGAATGGGTGAATCCCGTGCACGTGCAACATTTGCTCAAATTCTTTCGGCGGTAGAGTATTGTCACTCGACTGGTGTTGCACATCGCGATCTCAAGGCTGAAAATTTACTTCTGGATGCTCAAATGAATGTTAAAATTGCTGACTTTGGATTTAGCAATCGTTTTGTACCCGGGGAAAGACTGAGCACTTGGTGTGGTAGTCCACCTTATGCAGCACCTGAAGTTTTCAGGGGAAAACATTATGCTGGGCCTGAAATTGATGTTTGGGTATGGAATTTTCTATTTATTTATGGGTGATTCCATGGAAATAGTGATTATCACGAAATCAGTCTTATCATAAAGCAAATTAGTGCTCGATCACTAGATCATCCCCGCAATTGACAGACGAAATAAATTTCAAATTTCATTATTTTCTGTTGAATTACCCATAAGCTGTTATAAAATTACAATTAAATTTTCAAATGAAAAAAGTTTAAACTCATTAGGAATTTTCGTTGAATACTCCAGTGAGTAATCAGTTTATTTTTTAAATAATTCTGGTAATTCTCATTTTCAGGTCGAAAATTCAATTAAAACAATTCGATAATTTCCAGATCGTTCATTAAAAAAAAAACTCATTCTTCTGAAATTTTCAAGACAAATGAGAAATTTAGTGAGCGTTTTAATTGAAATTCAATTCAACCCCATAAAATTAAAAATTCAAATGTCTCTGTAATTGAAATTTCAAGGTCGTCTTTCAAACCCCATAACGTTATCTTCATTGCAATAAAAATGCATGACCTACTTAATTATTAATTTCCACATTCGATTTTTTTTAATCGATCAATTGATGTCGTAGTTATGAATAATTAATTGTCCCTTAAACATTCCAATAATCGCCGTTGTTCCAGATTCATTAATCCTAAAATCCGAATTTCGTAATCGTCCAATTTTCGAATTTTCTCATTTTCCTTGAAAATTATGTAGAATTTTTCGCAAATATCTCGAGAATTCTCCAACCGATTTCATTTTTTCAACTTTCAAAATATTCGTCTTAATGTCCTCTATATCAATCAATCAAAATAGGTATGTCCGTTCTCACGAAGATTTTGAGATATTCCAATTTTTCTGTTTTTCTATTTATAATGTGATTACCGTTGAAGATGTTTAATTAATTTTTCTTTCTCTCTTGTTTCTGAACAGAGTTTGGGAGTGGTGCTTTACGTTTTAGTGTGTGGAGCACTGCCATTTGATGGATCGACTCTACAGTCTCTGCGTGATCGAGTTCTCAGTGGTAGATTTAGAATTCCTTATTTCATGAGCACAGGTGAGTAAGAAAACATGTAAAAGTGTTATCACAAAAGGTTACTTTGAATTTTTCATCAAAAGTACACAGGGTCTAATTTCAAAGACTTTTACACTAGTTATGCCTGGTAGACCTTTGACATTTAAACTCATCGTACTCATTAAACTTTTATTTCCTTTGATGACCTTTTTCCTGGTAGTGATTGAACCAAGGGGATTTCGAATATTTACTACCTTAATTTATTTCAATTACAGATTGTGAGAGCTTGATACGTAAAATGTTGGTACTAGAGCCTGCGAAACGGTATACTATTCCACAAATAAAAAGGCATCGTTGGATGATTGGAACTGCTGATTCCATATGTCCAGTTTTGAACACAACTCCATCAGCCCTTCAGGAGCCAAATGAGCAAATCCTCAGGCTCATGCATAGCCTAGGGATTGATGTAACACGTACCAAAGATGTGAGCACCTCCAAAAAAATCTAGAGTATTTAAACCTTTTAATCCTATTATAATTCGTTGAATTAATTAATTTGTTTTTTTTTTCATATTTCCAGTCATTAAAAAACAACAGCTATGATCATCATGCTGCCATATATTTTTTGTTACTGGAAAGACTGAAGCAACACCGCAGCGGTAATCCAACGAATAATCCTACCTGGCCCTCAATATCACGTGTAAAGGAGGACAAATTCAAATCAAGGTAAAGATCATTGCACGAGAGAATTATTCAACCCCATCACTTGCAATCGTAGCAGCTTTTTATTTATATTTTTTAATGTTTTAATAAGTAGTATAAAAATTTTCAAACTAACGAGTGTCGCATCATTGCCATCGCATCTGGAAGCTTGAAAATCTACCCGCCTGAAGATGAATAAACTCATCACTCAACAAACATAATCGACAATTCATCACATCAAATGAAAATTTATCCAACACGTAAAACAAAATCACATAACACTGATTTTTATTTACAGCGATAGCTTAATCGGCCGTTGATGGTTAATCATTGCTGTTGTGGAGATTATCAACGTAATGTTGGATTAGGTTGAGAATGGAAGATGGAAAAAGGGGTGGCCTCTATCCAATTTCAGTTTTTGGTAAACTCTTGGTCGTTTAAGAAAAAATAAACCTGCTTCCGTTGAAATTTCATTCCTTTGAATATTCTCTTCGAATTCCTTAACCGCTGAGCTTTCTTCTGCTTTCAAGTATTTGAGGAAAATATCTTTTCTGTAGAGATAACCCAGGAGACGTAGACTTTCAATAATTTTTACGCCTCTTACACTCTACAGGGATGATATTGATTGAATTTTTCCGTTTCGTACCTATCCCTGTATGGGTGATTCCACAGAAATAGTGATATCTATGTCAGGACTGTGTCTCAGGCTTCAGCCGTACGATTCTGGTAGTAAGATATTGATGTATCCTCCGAGGTTATCAATTTTCAAGTACCTACGTCAATCAGTATGCCATCTCGAAGACATTTTCAAAAATTCAAAAATATTCAAGAATATTCAAAGAATTATCTGACCATTCAGCACTGACTTGCTCCATCAGTATCCCGTATTATCTCATAATGATGATAAAGAGTGATTTCGTGATAATCTCTATCTCCATGGAATCACCCATGTATGTATTTTGTGAGGATCGTATTGACAACAAAATCATGTGGCTCTCTCATTATCTTTCCAGTGTTTTAACGTGGAATTTGAAAGTTGACGCTAATTGACCTACTATCAAGCTTATTAACCATTGTATCTTTTTCGTTTGGTAGATAGGGCGATGCTGTTGCTACTGCCCCAGTGTTAAACCAAGGAAAATGTTGCAAAACTATGAGCATCTAGTTTTGAAACATATAGACATGAAGAAAGCATTTTAACTCCGTGGAATGACCACTTTCAGCCTTGGAATTATCAATGAATGTTATAAATTGATGAATGATAATGTGAAACTCTACGTTTTTAATGTTTTCTTCGGATATTTGCCTCAAAAGTTGACATTGAGCATAAGATATTGGAATAATTATTTAAATACGTACCCTGAACAATTGAATAAAATAGAATTGTTACTTGATTATTTGCAGAAGGGACGATACGAACAGAGGTGGCAAGCGTTTTAGTTCAACATCTTCCTCAACTGACGAGGGCTGTTGTAGTGCAGAAGGTGATCTGGAAGAGGGTCCAAGCGGTGATGAACTCCGTGAGGCCCAAATCAAGCTCCAAGAGCATCGACTGGGATTAGATCGTGATATAAGCCAAAGAATCGATAGTCAAATAGTGAATCGTCGATTAAGTGATTATCAACAGCAGCATTTTGACTCTATGATGGAGCCCATTGATCAACCTAGTCGTGCTACGCTGTTTGGGGCTGGCTGCAGTGGCAGCTCGTCCTCGGAATTATTTGAATCGAGCTTCGATTCTGGTTGTCCACCAGATTTTTCCATAACTGGTTGCTTCACAAGCAGTTTACCGTCGTGCACACCACCAGCACCAAAGAGCCCATCGCCGATTGCTGCTAGAATCGCCAGGACAGCTCAGGGGAGAAGAGCTTCTGATGCAGGACCAAGACTGATGTTTTGTCAACAGACTAGTACGGGTGATAGACCGGTCAAACAACGCAGTATTCAAGGTGATTATTTTCATTTCATTTTTACAATTTTATTATACCATGATGTATGTTAAACAATCAACTCAGAAAATAATTATTGAAGATCCACTTGTGATATCTATTGAACGTTATCTTTAATTAAAATTTCATCTTGTCAGTGTAACAAGTGGATAATCAAATAGCAGTTATTGAAAGGAAAAATCTGGAAAACAAATAAAAAAAATAATGACAAAATACTTGAGAGATAGCTTCCAATCTTTCTATATACTAAGAAAAAAACAGATCAATTTCCAAGTGGGTGAAGGTCAGCGTTCAGTGATTCGACGTGGAAGACTCCATATGACATTTCGATTGAATTTATTTTTCAATTCTAAGAATGAAACATTAAAAATACACATCATCGTATTATTGAGAAATGTTATTGACTAGTTTTATAATTATAAAAACGTAAAGGCTGACTCGAACAAATCTGATGTTGCATGACAGTCGTGGATTATTATTAGAATCAAATCGTTCATTATAAATTATACAACTCCATAAATAAACCGGATTTTTCGATTTTTATTAACACTTGAATCATGGATGAAAGCTAAAATTTCATGTTCCAATTTAATTGCACAAAAGATTAAAAAAATTTAATATTTGATTTGATATTTATTCTATTGGTTTAGTTTTTTATTTTCTTTTAATTTAGTATTTTTTGTTTGTTTTGCTGTTTTAGTAAAGTTAAATTAAAAAATTAAGATTCAGGAAAGGCTCGGGGACACCTAGATCTCGTCCATCTGCGCCCAAGTTCAACATCACCAAATCAACAACAATTCAAGACACGTGTTGACTCCAGTATGCAATTACAATTGTTAGTGCAACAGAGAATGCTCCAGCAAAAGAGAAATATGTATCATAGACATCGAGGTGGTGGAAGTCCAACGCCCTTACCGGGATTATCAGGTAGTGCAAGTGGTAGTGGTGGTTCATCCTCGGCAAGACGAAGTGGAGAGCATGTTCCACGACAGGACAGCTACAAAATGGCCCAACGAACGCAAATTCTTCCACCACTTTCCCAAGGCTCCGATTCAGATTTCGAAAGGGAAAGAGAACGCGAAGAAGATAGATGGAAAAGTTTACCATCTCGACTTGCAGCTGATTGTCAATTAGCTGAGAGGACATTGCTATGGAGTCAGCAGGTAACATCTTGAGAATATTGATATATTTATCTAGGTTATTGTTTTGAGAGGACTGATTTTTATTTTTAGTGCTCATGACTGTTATTCGATCCTCAAAATGCTAATTATGGGGGGAGAAAAGAGTATGAGCAAAACAAAATTTAAATATTTTTGTTACAATTAATATGAATGAATAATTCACTCAGGGAATTATGTTAATCCACACTTATAGTTGAATTTTTTTTACACTTCAATTCATAATTATTTACAAAAAATTGCAAAAAAAGAAATAAATAAATAAAATTTAGTTCACAATTTAGAGATGTATGTAGCCTGTACCTGCAAATTTGTTTCTATCATTTATTTATTTCACTGCAATAAATGACGATTATTTTTTTCAACAATTTGTCTTTATTTTTCCGCACGTGCATGAATCCTAGATGCGTGTCTGTTGCTTAATCATTAGCACAGGAGTGCAAAGTATGGGAGAATGTCTGGTAGAGAGAAAAAATTCACAGAAAGCTTTCTTCCACTTGGAAAAATCACTACCTTCAGGTTGGATTGGGTGGTGCCTCTTACCTGCCTCCTGGAAGTGTTGGTGGTTTTCTCTGGCCAGCCAGCAGCAGTCCACATGCAACAATCTTTGAAAATGCTGGCGATCCCATGGAATAAATCCTCAAAATATTTATTCCTAACACGATTTTCTATTATGGATCTATACCAGAATCATCCTAGGTCTAGATTTTTTCGTAGTTTGGAGTTTCTAGCGAAACGAATGTTCGATAGTTCAAGCAGCTGTTCTACTTCGACGGAGAGTAAGGAGAATTATACTCCATTGAATCATGTATTTCACTTTTTATCGAGTCTTAATAGAAGATTAAATGACTTTGTGTGGAAAATAAGACAATCCCCATCGGAAACACTACTTCATACAAGCCATTCCATTTCCAATTCGACACTTCAACTCTAGAGATACATTTACCGTATCTCTGGGATTACATGGGTTTCGCAATTTGAAAAAATTGTTTTTTTTTTTGGCTTATTAATTCCTGCAACATGACTATGATTTTTTTGTCCGGGAAATCCATGTAACGACCATCGGAGCTGAATAGCATCTCCTTATTCTTCCTCGAAAGAATATTTCCTATTAATCCATCATGAATTTTAGACTGGAAAAATTATCGTGTGGTACATGAATATATAATCATTAATCATAAATAGACTGATCATTAACTCGAACTGATAAAACACCAATATCTTAGAATTGAAACGAGAATTAAATAAAATGATGGCTAGAAAAGCGAGCGTTTGAGTGATTGGAAAGTTTCTATTTGAAAGCACTAAATTTTTTTGTTCACACTTACAAACAAAAAAATTATTTCAACAATTTAAAATTTTTATGAGCATCTAATTGAAATCATGTACTTCAAGCATTTGAAGAATGAATCCTTAATTATTTTATACGAGAAGTTGAATTTGGTACATCCATGAAAAAGATTGAGTGTAATTATAAATTGATTGAATAATTAATTTTTCCAATTGATAGGACTTTGAATACTGTCCCACTGCCAATCGATTTGCTTGGGATTGTTATTGTAATTTAACAAACAGCCACCATTAATAAACAATTAAGAAGACTAAATCAACAGATGAAGAAACAAATTATAGACGATTTGGGTATTAATTGATAAGTGAATACTTCGTTGAAAAATTAAAAATGAGGATAGAAAAAGAAGAAAAAAAAATAATTGGCCGGATATTCTGTCAAAAATTTCAGATCTTTATCTTGATTCCCCCATTTTTATTTTCATTAACTAGTAATTATAATTATGGATAGATCTAAAAATATGAAAAAATGATTGTTTATAATTTTTTCTGGTTTTTAAAACGATTTTTAGAATGATAAAAAATGAATAAAATTGAAAGAAAACTTTTTAATTATTAAATATGAGGGAATCAAAATGAAGATTTGAAATTTTCTACAGAATTATCTTTTTTTGGTGATGAATATATAAAAAAATAACGGCTAGACTCTTTATCTCATTGAAAATCACAGCCTCATCAGAATCGTATGCAATTAGTCAATAATATATGTATAAAAATCTGCATAATTGTTGAAACAAGAAGAATGTGTTCTGCAGGAATTCGTGAAAATATCGGAGGTGTTTCGGCCCTCTCTCTTTTCATTGTGCAAAATATATCTTCTCTAGGTCCTAGATTTTTCAGAGCTTCAACAGTTTAATAAGTAAATTGAAGAGGAATACCGGCCGCGCACAACCAACAACGACTTCAATCATTTGGATTTATTCCTTTACCATTTTAGATGTATTTAAAACGAAAAAAAAACGATGAATACAATCAAACTTCGCTCAAAAGTCAACCAAAATATGAATCTCCTTTTTTAATAAAAGATACAAGCGATTTGAGACGACTATACCAGGATATGTAGAACCTATCTAAATGTTGTTGCACTTTCATTATATTTTTTATTATTTTTAGTCGAGAAAGAATTATTTATTGTTCTCTATTTTTTCTTTCACTATTCGGAATTGACGATCAATTGTAATAAAATATATTGCGCTCGTTTATAAAAAAAAATCATTAATTGCATGTGAAAATGATGCATTGAGCGAAATTAACTAATAATCATTTCTTTCCATATTTTCTCCGCATTTGTTACTACAGATTTACTCCACTTGAAGTAAGTTGTACATCAATCAGTAGAACGCTGATTAAATCAACATCGAATTATTAATGATGAAATTCATCAATGGTATATCAGGAAGTAGAAAAAAAATGAAACAATGCCTTCTTAGGACGATAGATTTTCTTTAATGTCGACTTAGATGAACCCTGCTGATTACTAATCATCCATTGGTGATGATCACTCTGACATCATCTCAAAGGGTCTAGAATCTTGATGAATAGGCATGGTGAATCTGTCCTCAACGAATTTCAAGGATCGAATTTTAATTCTGTGGAAAATTTCAAATCTTTATCTTGATTCCCTGATTTTTAATAATTAAATTCTCATTTACATTTACAATTTTTATCTAGAGGTGATTTCTTTCTTCCTCTAGAGCTCGGGATTTTAATTGTAGAACAGTAGAATTCAATGGTTTTCGGCCACTCTGAGGTTAAACTCACGCGACCGATTTTACAATTTATAACCGACGGAATTTCCAAAAATCTGTGATTCAGATTTGGAAAGAGAAGAAATCACACGATAAAAAGAGATTTTTAGTGTGATTAAGGCGGAAATGGAGAAAAAATGACAAAAAGTCGGAAAAATATCAATGTTATGAGGGAGATGATTTAGCTACCCGCCGTAATTCAAAAAGATATTTCAATCGGATCCGTGGCTATAGTCCGATATCAACGATGACGTGACCCACGATTTTTCCGCGACTGAAATTTTTGTTTTTTATTTTTTATTTTTCATTTTTTTGTTTACAGATCTGAAAAGTAAAGATGAGTGTAAAAAGAAATTATCCACGGAATTATCTTTTTGAGTCATAAAGATGTAAAAAAATTGGCACCTTAAAATTCGCTGGATCTATCCGGCTAGACCCTTCGTTAGGGAGAATGTATGAACGAGTCATTGGCAGAAGATTATAAAAATTGGAAGGCAATGTGCGCATCTATTGTTGGAAAAATATTCATCAATTTGGAATGAAGATTCTATGTGATACTCATCGTTTTGCAATACAAGGTCTAACATAGTCAATAGCTTCGGATATTTTTTAGGTCATGGAAAATTGGAAAAGGTCACGGAAATTCATTGCCATTTGACGAAGGGTTGTTATCATATCAATATTGCGATTAGAGGTGAGACCATAAAAAATTATGGAAAATTTAGTTTTGAAAATATTAGATCAGTGAGAACTAGCAATTGATCGCTGTTGACTAGCTTCAATGATCAAAAATAAAACGAATGGAAATCCACGTGTCCCAGATGAAAAACAAAACATTAAAGTTAAAAAAAAAACATTAAAAATTCCATGTTTTCTGCATTTCTATACATTTGCAAAAACGAAGAAAATAATCGGTTCCACTTGTTATCTTTTTCCACATTATAAGATATGAATCAACAAAAAAAATGCCGCAACGTGAGAATACTGTAATTCGAAGTGGCTAATGTTTAGAAAAAGGATAATAATAAGCGAGAAAAAAGTATGCCATAACACCGATGCACGTAGAACTTATTAATAGATAATAAGAAGCTAAAAAAATATACAAAATATACTAAATTGAAATTTAGTAATACGCATTAACGATGAAGTTTTTTTTAGTCCACTTGGAATCGCCGTGATTCTGAGACATAGGTCCACTAATTTTAGTCGCATATTTATTGTTTAAACGTATACATGTGAGATATTTACATAATCACGTTCTACGACAATAAACAAAGGGAGAAATCAATATAAATTTTGATGTACCACTTATTGAACTTTGTCCAATAATTCCGCTGGTTTTTCCTGTTGAAATAGATCGCTGCCAGTTTTTTGAGCAAGATCTAATGCCTGCTGTGGTGTAAGCGATTCAAATTCACTAGGCTCTAAGGAATTGCCGTTCTCGTCTAGTTTACCGTTTTTAAAATCAATATTTATTTTTTTAGCGTAAATCGCATTGAAGAGATCCCTAGGTGTAAATTTTGATTGAACTACACGCGTTGAACGGTACGAGACGTATGGTTTTAGCTCACAACCTTCTAAATTTGGCACTATCAATTCTGGAACCATTTCAGGAACCAATACAAAATTGTCTCCGTCCTTGTAACCGATTTTTCTCGTTCCGCGGTCTGAAAAACAATTTTTTACGATTTATTTTTAATTTGTCACAATTTCATCAATAAAATCATTGCTATTCTGATTATTTACATGATATTAAAAAACTACTTAAACAATAATTGCGAATTCGATAATTTGATGAACTTTAAGGAATAAAACGTTTTATACAACAAATTCACATAAATGACATAAATAAAAATAGAATCATGAAATTACCGGGATATAAACTCACCATGAATGGGAATATCGGGATCAGGATTATATCTCTGTCGTTCCTTGAACTCTCTGGTACCTCTCTTGTTGTAAAGATTGAATTTACGAAAATTCTTCTTTCCACTGGCAACAGCTGTTGTGGAAATTCCTCGTTGAATTGTCAGAAAAACCGATGCCATTTCTCCTTCAATCGAATCTGAACGAAACCTCGACCTCTAATTAAATTCATTCTCTACTTCAATGAAACAATAACAACAAATGACGTGTGATGGACTTACCGTTTCAAAAATCAGAGTTCAATCTCAAAATAATACTCCATGTATTTATTTTTCTCTGTATGTTGTAGCTAAATAATAAATTCTACTTGCAGTTGATTTTCGATCTCTTGTGTCTCTAATCAGACATTCTTTTTTGAAAAAAAGGGTTATGTTATGGTTTCAATAGCGAATCCTCATGGAGCGACAATATTGAGTTCTTTGGATTTCCGTCGAAAAAACGAAACGTCTCATAACCTCAATTTCAGTTCAATTGTCTGATATTCAGGGATAAATGCCGCGTACACAGTTTCATTATTTTCGCAAATATCCCCACAATATCCAACAATCTGAAATCTATTTACTCGTTCTCCCTTTCTTCATCAAGAAGTGAAACTAAACGATTCAGTAAATTCGGGTGCTAAATGTTAAGTTCAATTGACAGAGTCAACACCTTCAAAAAAGTCATAGTTTGTGGCTTTATTAACATCTACATTTGTTAAAAGACTGGAGATAGTTTATAGACAAGACTTCGGATGCTGAATTACAACAGTACTTGACAAATGAAACACAAATTGAGATTTACTCTGTAACAAACATCTCAATCAACAAAAATGACACGAAAGTGTGTTCTGTGTAAAGAAACGAATTACAAAAATTCTTACAGTTTTTTCTCAGCTCCGAAGGATCTGGAAACTAGGAAGAAATGGCAGGAAGCAATTGCTATCGAGAATTATACTGTTAGTGATGATACTTACGTCTGCAGCAGGCATTTTTTACCAAGTGATATAATAACACATTGGGTTAGTGGTGTACCACCTCATGTTGTCACTGTAAGTCATTAATTTTTCATCAGTAATTATAAATAAAATGGACTATATTATTATCGAAGCTTTGTACCACATTTATTTTTCATTTTGATATCACCAGAATTGAAGATTAGATTTTTAAAATTTTCCTTCACAGTAATTAATAGATTTAAGTTTAATTGAATTCAATTAAATATTTCTGTCCATCTAAAATGATTTCCGGAGAAATGACAATTGTTATGAAAAAGTGATTTGACATTTAAAAATTAAAAAATAATTGCTATAATTCCAGTAAATATCTATTGCAGGTGAAAATGAATAAAAAAAAAATTCGTTTGTCCCAAATTTTGTTTTCTTTATTGCCAATTATTTATATTTATATTTTTTGTTCTTGTTTATAGATAAAATATAAAAAATGTCGATTGAGGCCAGGTGCAATCCCTACAACGAGCTGCGAGGCGATGAATAACATGCAAAATAATCAAGATGATGATTTAGAAGAATTCGAGGTGAATAGGAATTGGAGCAACGCAGACAGACGACCAGCTACTTTCGGAGATGATAAAAAAGAGTTTTTTCTGATTCCTCGTGACGACAAGATCATTACTTACAACAGTAATGATAATCAAAGTCTTTTGAGAAACAATGTAAAAGAGGAAAATTACATCAATACGGAAGCTGGGGAAAGTCTCCAGGATGAGGTTGATGATACGATAATGGAGAATGAGGAACAAGACCAAGTGCTAGAGGTCATTCAGGAAGATCTTGAAGAATCAGTCAATACTATCTATATCAAGACAGGTGATGATCCCCAAATAGTCTACATTGAGGACTTGAATTGTAAAACGGATTGTATTGAAGAAGAAATTGGTGAAGGTAACGTCAAAGAGAAAATAGCCGAGTTTTCACCGCAGAAACTCGAAGGTTCTGGTGAAGATGGTGAAGAATCAGTGGATATGTGGGAGTCGATTGATGGAGAAAAAGAATTAGCTCCGAATGTCGATGAGAAAAGTTCAAGGGAAACCGAAGAGGATGATGCCATGGATACTGAGGATCCATTGGATCTCAACCAACAGCTTGAAGATCCTGAAGACCCCATGCTATTTGAAGATCTACTCGATGTATATACTGAAGTACCTCTTCGCAGGGGCTGGTCTGCTGTTGTTATTTCAAAAGGCCGAGGAACTACTGTTGTTTATACTTTCATGACGATGACAAAGAGTGGAGTCCCCTATGTTGAGAAACAAGTGTTTTTGATGAGTGATATGGTTCTCAGGTGCTCTGCAGCTGGGAGAGAGATTAATCCAAGGCTACATAATTTATTGAGAGAGGGGAGGCAGTTAAGGGTTCAGTCTCTTCTGGATGTTGAGGATATCATTGAAGAATTCGACCAGAGGGTAGTTTGCGAAGGTAATGTTTTTATTTTCCAATTTAAAGAAGTTTTCAACTGAGAAAAATTGTCCAATTGAAGTGGGAGTAATTATTACCTATATATAGAAAAAATTGCAGTCACTTGTCTGTAAAAAAATTTTTGGGTAAAAATTATTTTTATAATGTAGAGAAAAACTCATTTCTAATTAGTCTTTGGTATTTTTTTTTTTCGTAGGCTCTTCAGAATCAATCAATGCTGTACATATGGATAATACAGTTGCCTTCCGGGACGGTTTCAAATGGCGTCACGTAAGCTGTCCGATATTGATAAATAATGGGACAACACGTTGCTCAAGGTGTAGTTCAATGAACGCATCTGTTAATCGAAGAAAATTAAAGAAACCCCCGCAAACGGCTGAATCTGCTGAGCTACTCAAAAAAGATCGAACGATATTTGTACTTCAAAAATTATTGGCCAAAATATCGAAGAAGAACCAACGCATTGGGACAATCAAAGACAATATTGAGGGGAAAGTCCACCAGAGATGTGCGGATCAGCAGAAAAATTTGATAAGTTGTTTAGAAACCCTGAACATCCCAAAGATTCAGAAAATAATGATGACGGAATGTCTCAAATCATCTTCACCAGAAGACAGTGATTTCTCCGAGACATGGACATTTTTATCTCTTTTGCTTTATATTGAGTCTCCGAGAACGTACAAATATCTTCTCATTAACAAATTCATGAACTTACCTCCGATTAAAACAATGAAACGCTATTTGCATCAGATTAAAACTGACACTCAATTTTATAAATTGTTCCAACGTTCTGTCGAGCCTTTCCATGTGAGTGAGATGAGTGATGAGACCGAGCCAACGTGAGAATTTTATGAAGAAAAAACAAATAAATATATAATTCGAATTAATGAATAATAATTGAAAAGACTAAATAATATGAACGATATCACGAAGAGATGTAAGTCTTATTTAAAAATTCTTTTTATATCTGTAAGTTGATGATAATATTTAAAATAGTAAGCAGTAATGAAGAACTTTGAAGAAATAATTTAATTGTTTTTTAGTTCAATTTTTTGCGAAGACCCATTTCTGCTTGTGGCCTTTTTCTATTATTCTAGGATCTAAATTCAAAAGTTTATGGCTGCACCCCCTTCGGGCCCATGATGCCCTGCACGTAAGCAAGAGTAGTGGGGATTTTCGGCAGAAACTTAATGGTGGGAAAAGTGAAATAGAAAAATTTTCCATTCCTCTAACGGAAATATTTTTTCAATTATTGTTTTTGATTGGTTATTGGTTGCTTTTAATCGACTTAAAAAATCGTACCTTTCATCGATTTCTTGAAGTGGAAATATTGTTTGGAAAACAATTATTAAATATTATCATGTTGTTAATAGACCTGACTTGACATGTATTTTCAAACTTTCCATTTCTATATTTCCCGCTCTCGATGCCAAAGTAAAATTCACAAATTTCGCATAATCAAAAAACTTATTAACGTCCTTTAATCTTTAATTAAATTTTGATTAAATTTTTTTTTCTCAAGTCCACGAGCATCCCACTTTCATTTCCACCGATGAATATTGAATCTAAACCATCATCTTCTCATTCTATTTTTTTTTAATCAAAAAGAAAATGTCCAAACACATGCATAAAAATTCAAACCATTTTGCCCTCGCATTTCAATCACGCGCATGGGCCATCGCCCGATGTTACCCCCACCACATAAATATACGATAATCCTTGTAATCACGTTAGATCCCTTATAATTGGAACCTTAATAATTTCATGGCTACAGCTCCGAGCATACCTGAGGTTGCCCACCTCTGGGGTAATCAAACGAAAAGATGATGAAAAAAGGAACGATAACCTTTGACTTGAAATATAAATTCATCCTTTAATACATACATCAAGTTTAGCCTAAAATATTAGTTTAAAATCTAAACATCATTTCCACTTTCTCCCCTTTCCATTTTTCTTCATTGGTAACTTGCCTTTTTGTCCCTGCTGCGTCCATTCCCTTTGCAATTCTTGAATCATCGAAGGTGTTAATAAACCCTGAGACAGTAATCTCTCAGTGAGCCTTCCCCTGCCAATTCCCTCTGCAGACTCCCTATAATATTTATTCTTCTGTGTATTGAGTGCAAAATTATCTTCATCAGAAAGTGATGCAGCTCCACTGCTCACGCCAGTCTCCGAATTTTGAAGTAATCTTGTTAATTGAACAATTCCTTCCTGAATAATGGCATCAAGTTCTTTCTGAACGTCTCTAACAATATTGGTATCAGGAAACAGATCCATAAATCGATAACTGAGCCAGAGATAGAGATCGAGCACATCAAAAACAGCTTCTAAGTGAACCAAGTCGATTATTCTTTGTGGCGGTTGAAAAGGCCAGCCGATTTGTTGGCATAACCAGTTAAATGTGATTGGCTCATTCTTACTATACTGCCTTGCAAATTTAAGGAACATTGTACAGGGAAAAGGGACTTTGTTGTTGATTGGTGCGCAGCAGAAGACATATCTCGCTCTAAGGGGAAGAGGCACGTGCTGAATCATATCCGCTAAAAATTTAAAATCATCGATTTTACACATGAAGTAGAGAGAGTCATCGACTGTGCACAGGGACACGAAGATGTCCATCAAATTTGACAGTGCAGCCTTTGGAAGGTGATAGGCATAGAGTTCAATTTGATCAGCAGTTGGATGAAGACCTGCTTGTGTTATGGGTTCTGGACTTTGACTAAGTATTGACTTGAGGAGAGGTAAGTCTTCAGGTTTAAATGTCGTGACAAAACCCTTATCCCATTGGGTTCCATAACGACCAGCTCTTCCAGCTATTTGTAACGCCGAAGAAACTGATATTTTGTCCATCTCCTTCTCACCTTTCTCGTTCACAGTCGGTTTTATCATTGAGTAAAAAATAACTCTTCTTATGTGCCTGAATAAAATAAAAAATAATCCATTTAGTGTCAACTACTAATAAATGAAAATAACAATTTACAATTATTTGCTTACAGATTGAGACCCATTCCTATAGCGTCAGTTGCAACCATAACTTTACAGGGATGTTCAGGATCATTGAATTTAGCAGCTTGACCTAATTTGGTATTTGGGGGAAGCCCACCATAAATAACAGCTACTTCCATTCCCAGAGCCTCCAATTCTCTGGAGACAGTGTAGATATCATTCTTACTGAAGCAAACTATACAATCTCCAGGCCGAATATTCCTCAAGCTTCCGACTGCGTCGTTTTCTACTTCTAGTTCAGTTAGGCGTTTATATCGTCTGATTTCTACGTTTTCACCGGTTGTCATGCACAAAGCTTGAACCAATGGAATAGCTCCAGCTTCTCCACACAAATGAATTTCATTAGCAGGGATGCCAAGAAGGGCCCTCGTCCAAGCCCAGCCCCTGCCATAATCCTTGAGAAGCTGTATCTCATCGATAACAGCTACTTCACAAGGTAAACTTATCCTCGCCATTTCCACAGTACAAGAGATATGATCAGCAGGATGTCCTTCACCCATGGCGAATTGCCTCTCTTCCCCAGTAACCAAATCACAGGATGTCCCCAAGTCATTTGTCTTTCGGAATACTTCAGTAGCCAAAAGTTTCAGAGGGCCACAGTAGAGTCCACTTTTCGCTGTTCTAAATCTCTCGAGTGCATGATAAGTTTTGCCACTATTAGTTGGACCAGCATGAAAAATTATTTTCCTCGTTATGGAGCGTGCTAGGGGATACCAGTTGGCAGGTGTTCGAAGATCAGAAATCTTCTTCAAATCGTCCATACAATCTAGATGAGGGAAAATTTCTTTTGCATGACGGATGAAGTAAGGGAATATGTCTGTCACGTGGCCAGCACCCTGGAGAATGTCTGAGACAACAACGTGGAGATCTACTGGTAGGGTATCAGCATCCAAACAGTATTTGCGAAAGCTGTTGAAGGCTTGACGTTGAAGATCGTCATCCAGGCCATAGTCTTTAGCCAATTCTGTGATTTCTTTTCGCTGGAAGAAACTGACGAGAATCTTTTGAAGATCTGATTTTTTCAAAGAGCCACCGGTTATTTCGGCGCCAACATTTATGTCGTCGGAAGTTGCTGACACTGGAATTGGATGAAAAAGAGTATTTGGATCTCGTGTGTCACTCCTTTTGCCTCGGAAGAATCCACTGACGACTGGTAATGATCTGAATTAAAAGAATACATACAATTGAAAATTTATTAGAGGTATTCCATATCAAATGAGTCAATCGTTTACTCTCATCGATAAAAAATAGGAAGACTATTTCAATTCTTCCTTTTACTTTATACTTTAATTATGCAATATTACTTGAGTTGTAAGGAATGAATACCTTGATGAAATCCCCGGTTTGAGAAAGACACTGCTCCGTGCTAGAAGTTCTGGGATCAAACGTTTTGTTGGAAACATTTTCAGCTGTCAGTCATTAACTCGATTACTTGGTAGTATTCCAAAAGATTTGTAGATTATTTTTATCCACCTCCACTACTTTCTTTTTGAAGACATCTTTTAGTAGACAGATTGATGAAGAATTTAGGTTAGGGTTCAAGATCCCAATGTGCCTGTCCCTCTCTTTCGTAAATAGTACTTAGTACCTTTCTGCAAGCTGCAATGTAGGGGGCCTCATCTTTGAACTCACTGTTCAGACACAATCGATTATCTCGAAAATCTCGAAATCAGGAAGCCACGGTTCCTTATTGGTCCGCATAAAGTGGCGCGAGATTACAAAATCCTAACTCTCTTACAGAAATCGTTTCATACGGTCTCTCGTATCTTTAAAAAAAACAATTAAATGGAGATAATGGTACATGTCCTTAGCCTAGGTGAACCGAATGGCTTCAATAGCTAGATTTTCCTGTTGGTCTATATTTCGTTTTATTTTTATTCGACTTTCGGTTTTCAACCCATCAATTTTTGTCTTCAAACCTTCCAACTTTCAAGATTAAATATCATCGCCACATTACAAACTTAAGGACTTGTAGCATTCTCTTTATTTCAGTGCTTTCTTGAAATATTGTTTGAAAAACAATTATTAAATATTATCATGTTGTTAATAGACCTGACTTGACATATATTTTATAACTTTTCATTTCTATATTTCCCGCTCACAAAAAATGAAAGACGAAACAATCAAATTAAAGGTACGTACTTGTCGCAATTTTTTTTACAAACTCTAGCGCTGCCCCGGCCGCTTTAGCCTTGATTAAATTCCTATGTTTTTAAATGCATTTGCGAATGTTTTATGAGCATGATCATTAATGTTAGGATTGATTGACATCGACTAATGGATGCTAATTTCCTTAAAGTCCAGTAAAATTGAATCAAACCGACTGAAATAATGTGCAGCATCTCGGAATTTGCATTTTGAAAATGTCATATTTTCCATTTCGATTTGAGTCGATTTAGCCGATTGGCGTCATAAATCGACACAAATCGATATGCGTCGATATGATTCGATATGAGTCGATTGGTGTCATAAGTCGACATGGATCGATATGAGTCGGTAGGTGTTATAAGTCGATATGAGTTGACATGAGTCGATATGAGTCGATATGAGTCGACATAAGTCGATATGAGTCAATTGTCGTCATAAGTCGACATGAGTCGATTTGCGTCATGAGTCGACATGAGTCAATATGAGTCAATTGCCGTCATGAGTCGACATGAGACGCTTGGCCTAACCGGATGATTCAATCAGGAGATATTCAACCTTGTATCTGAATCGATTTTCTCAAATATCTCAAAAACGCCTCAACTGATTTAATTTCTCTTTTTTTCAAAATATTTTTTACATTGTGTCCTATTTAGATAAATCAAAGAGATGTACGCGTTCGAACAAAAATATGATGAAATTTCAATTTCAATCAATCTATCAACTTGAAATATTTGGAATGGCTATTCAAAATAATTACCGCCTTATTGAAAATCATTTGATTATTGAGATTCAATGTTAAGTTTAAATAATATATAATTAATGAATAATTATGTATGTTATTATTTTATTGCCTTCAATACATATTTTACGCATCAGTACCAATATTACCAATTACCAATTTTTTATAAACGATTATTTAATTCCTCTTCTATTTCTTAGAGCCAATCGTAAGGATAACAAACTCGAAAAAATTTGACAGTTCCATTATTGCTAGTAAATTTCCTACTGAAATATTTGTCAAGTTATTTCAATTCCTTGGATTATAGATGAACATACAATAATATGATTGATCAATTAGATTTTTAGCAGAACCATGTCTTGCCTGGCTCCTCGTGTAGTCAGAAATCAACTCTTAACGTGCCCCTGTAAAAAAAACCAAGTATTTTGAAAAAATAAAAATTAATTAACGCATTTTAATGATTTAATGATGATTACAGGCTAGTTGGTCCGGTGTACGGCGGTGGATTCGGTCGCACATACGGATTACCACGTTCCGTTGAAGTCCTAAACAATTACGCCCCCGATTAATGAGACATTAATTTTCTAGGGGAGTAAAAATAATTTTAATAGGGATGGTTATTTATCTTCAGGGATTACCTTGGGCTTCTCAATAATGAATCACTGGGGCTCGAAGGCTGCGCTGAGAGAGATCTCAAGGTTCCTCTTTCTGATGCTGCATACTGTACCATTTGAACTCCATTATTTCCAACACCCTCCATCGGTGTTGATTCTCTCTTATCACTACAAACGAAATCCAATCGATTATCAGAAAATAAGCAGTGGAATTCTATTTCTTACTAGTATTTTATTTCTCTTCATTTCTATTCATTTCATTGGTAATAAGTCATCGGATCCCCATT